TGTAGGTCTTCAAAAGTAGATAAAAGTCAACAAGAAATGGGCGTCATAATGAATCTCATTATCTTCATAGCTGATGCCTAAACTTTCGAACCTGATACTATCCAGCAAAACAGAATAGGGGAACATCAGTTAAAAACCAGATGGTGAGAGTAATACAGGGCTTTAAATCAAGGTAATAAAAAGTCAAAGTGGGTTACTATAATATATCCTGCTATTTTTTTCCTTTAATTAAAAGGATAAAGATAAAAAAGTAAATAATGGAGTGGAGATTGAGATATAAGAGGGCATAACAACGAAACAGCGCAGATCAAAACAACCATTTAAGCAGAGTAGTGTTTCACCACCAGATAATCCTAACCTAAAAGTAGTTACCATATTGTCTCTTTCTTTGAAATCCTTGAGTACAACTTCGTATACTGTAGCATTAAGTATATCAAAACAATGTAAAACCATTCAAGAGAATGACAGCATTACAGAGTATTTAGAATCGACTAACAGAAAATGAACAATGGTTTCTGTATAATCTCCTTGTCTTTAAAAGGTTTTTGCTTATACTATCGTACATAATAAAATCCAATAAGATACAGCCTATTTAGACCATTGGAGACAGAAGGACAAGAGCTAGATGAGACTTCAAAACAAGATGATACTAAATCAGTATTACCTATTAAGATGTCATTTTCTCCAAAATAGCTGTTCCTATCATCCAGTCTTCTCTGCCTCATTTCTGTTGAGCTCTTTTTCTGTCAGTAGCTGTCAGTTTGTCTTCTTCATTTTGTTCTCTGCTCCATTCGTTGTGGCCTCTCTGCCATTATTTCTGGATTCTTTGTATTTTTCTTTTTTTAGAATATCCTGCAATACTCTCTGTAGAGTTGAATTGGTGGTTGCAAATTCCCCCAGTTCCTCTTTATCCTGGAAGCACCTTGTTTTTCCATCAATTTCCAGGGACAGTTGTGCAGGATATCTCAAACTTGGCTGGAGATTATTATCTTTCAAAGCTTGAATTATTTCCCCCCACGCTCTTTGTGATTTGATGGTTTGTGCAGAGAAATCTGTTGTAATTCTGATGGGTGTTCCCTTGTAAGTGGTCTGTTTCTTGTCTCTGACAGCTTTTAATATTCTGTTCTTGTATTGAATTTCCGGAATTTTGATTATTATATGCCTGGGTGTAGCTCTGTTAGGGTTGTAGGTAGCTGGGGCCCTGTATGCCTCATACATTTGAGTATCTTTACCTTTTGCTAAATTAGGAAAATTCTCCTGGATTATTTCTGTGAGTAGCTTTTGTAGTTCACTTGTTTGTGTCCCTACTTCTTCTTTTATGTTCTTAATCCTTAAGTTATGGATCCTCTTATCATCTTCTTGTCTTTGTATTATTGCTGTTTGTTTCTTTGTTATTTTTAAGAAGTTTTTCATTTCATTCTCCCATATTACAAGTCTGCCCTCCAGTTCAGATAGTCTGTCCTTAGTTTCTTTCAAGCTGTTATGCCAGTCTTGGATAGACTTCTTAGTATCTTGGTAGTCCCTTTGAACCTGCTTCACGTATTCTATGCTTTCTCTGTTTTCTCCATCAAACAATTCTCCCCTTTTTTTTCTGTTCTTCCATTCCACCACCTGTTTTTTCTTGGGTGGTACTTAGCATTTCTCTAACTATTCTGCATACTTCTAGCTTCAGGTCGTTGATAACTTCATTCCTGAATTGGTCTATGAGGCTCTCTATATGGCGCCTTATGTGTATTGGTGCGGTGTCTGCTATTGCCTGTTTCTCAGAATTGGGGGCCGAGGAGCCTTTCTTGTTGCTGCCTCTTCCCATGCTGCCTCTTCTTCTCTGTTCCTTATATATGCAAGCTTATATAAGAGGCCCAGCTTCTCTCCCAGTCAGCCACAGCCTGATCAAATTGTGCCAGTTAGGTGTTCCCGCTCACCGCTGCGCACCAGGGAGTTATGGACCAGGCAGTCTACGCGTCTCCCCTCCCGGCCACCATCAGGCTCTGGGATCCGGGTTGGGACAGCCTACCAGGTCCTCCGGCAGCATCACGCAGGCCAGGCACTTTTCACCAATCCCGCCTGAGAGGGGGATGTGTGGCTGGAGTCGCCACCGTGCCCTGCTCCCGCAGGACTGCTCGGCCCCAGAAAGTCCTCCGCTGGAGTCAAAATGTGGTAGAAAGTCAGTTTCTCTCACTCACCTCACCACAAGTCAGTGCACGCCTCCCTGCCGTTCGCAGATTGCCATTCTCAGAGCTTCTGCACGTCTCTCTCCTTGCCGAGCCACTGTAGAGGCAGCCAGCCGCCGCGTGGAGGGAAACCCAAATCGCGACTTACAATGGCGCGGGGTCCAGCCTCCACACCGAGGCTTTTCTGTTCCTGTTTTAGCACCAGGACTGCATTCCAAGTTGGTTTCTCTCAGCCCAGTTTGTTCCTGAGTCAGCAGAGCATATCTCCACCTGCTTATGTCTCCTTACTCCGCACCCTTCCTGACTTCTGAGCCGAGTCTTTCAGAGAGCCTCCGGTAGTTGCTGTTATCTGTCCGCCATGTTCTCCCGGAAGTCCCCCTCCTACTTCTGTCTCCTCTCCAACCCTGGGCAGAGAAGAGGCAGCTGCCACTGTGAGCTGCTGTAACAGGGCACCTGTCTGGTCCCTGCCGTGCCCCCCCCAGGGTGATGATAAGCAGGGCCTGCAGCCCCGGCGCTGCGAGGGATCCACTCAGCTGGCCCACGGGGCTCCTGCAAGCAGAGGAGCTGCGGCCTCCTGGAGAGCTTGACTTTTAGGCAGTGTGCGTGGGTGGCTTCTGGGTCTTAAATGAACAGCTTCCTGGGGTTCTTGGTCCAGGACTGACAGTTTGCAAGGAGGCCCTGCTGTGACCACCAGAGGGCGCAGCTCCTGACTCACTGGGTTGGGCTTAACAGGGGAGAAGGCGGAGAAGAAGCTGGACCCGACAGGGGAGGCTTAAAGAGCTAAGATTAGTTTGGGATGCAGTTTTGTTTGCTTCTGTACGTTTTAGTTTTAGTTGTTGTTTTGGTGGGGGTTTTTTGTTTGTTTGTTTTGGTATTGGGGATTGAGCCTAGGGTCTTCACACTGAGCAACATCTCTAGCCTTTAAAAACAAACAAACAATGTTTAGTAATATTGAAACAGGTCACTAAATCACCCAGGCATGGCTCAAACTTGTGATCTTCCTTCCTCAGCCCCACAAAGTGCTGGAATCACAGCCATGCACCACCACGCTGGGCTGTGATCACTCTTGAACTGGCTGCTTGGGAGGGGAGATGTATTTCCACACCAGTTTAAGAAGTGCATTTCATTCAAGTCAAGGCAAGCCAGGGGCTGAGGGATCCAACTGTGGAAGCCGCAGGCTTCCAGCCCTCAGGGCACCTGGTGGAGGAGGGAAGACAGAGTTAGAACGCAGAGGGATCCATGCCAGTGTCTCACCCCACGGTGGCCATTGGAGAAGCATTTAATGGGCACCTAGAAAAATGAATGACAGAGAGACATTGTCCTCAAAGAGCTGCAGTCCACTTCGGAGAGGACACCACAGCTGAGTGATCACAGACAAGTAGGGATTAACCAGGCAAAGAAGGGGAGGGGTCCTCAGTGGTGGAAGATCAAGGTGTTCGAGGGGTGGCGAAATGGATATTGGGTGCCATGTTAAGAAGCTTGGTTCTTTCCCAGAATGCAGTGGAGGAACAGGAACTAAAGAGAATGAGGTAAGGGAGATGATAAATTGACTGGGTGAAGCAGGACAGGAAATCACAAGTGTGCTAACATCTCAGCTGGACCGTGGAGTATGTGTAGGAGTTCTGCAGGCCAAGATGAGAGGCAGTAGAAGCATTCTCCAAGAGGCAGCTTTGCTGCTTGCTTTGTCTCCTTTCTCTATAACATTTTCCTTTTAGTCACTTGAAGCTGAGAAGGCTGAGTGATAGAAAGAGAAGGGCAAATGGAAATATCTTTGTGAGCTTTGGGAGTCGTGTTAGTGAAAGGCCCTAAGATAAAAGGTGGGTGACACTACAGCAAAGATTCCAGGGTCACTTACTGTTCAGGATGAGTGTATCTAAAACCAGCTGGCCTCAGGGTGGCTGGCGGCCTAGGCTGGGACTAATGTGGAGGGTCAGCTGCAGGTGCAGTCAAAAGATGGACTCCAGAGTCATCAGTGGTGAAGGAAATAATCTCTTTCCCAGGTGTTAGTCAGCTTTTTGTTGCTGTGACTAAACACCTAAAAACAACAAAACAAAACTTAAAGGAGGAAAGGTTGACTTTGGCTTTGGCTTCAGAGCCTCAGTCCATGGCGATCTGGCTTCCCTCTTTAGGTCCGAGGTGAAGCAAAGACATCATGGCGGAAGGGCCCGGTGGGGCTTGGGGTGGGGAGGAGCTGCCCCATCGTGGCTGCCAGGAAGCAGAGAAACAGTTGAGGGACTTGATCTGTGCTGAACTCTAAGTAGCAACGACAGTAGCTGTTGCTGGACATGTTACTAATATCGTGATTAGGCCTCACGTTTGGTAAAGCGAGACAGCTTTAAAATGCCCACGTGTCCTGCTTAGGATTCTCGAGCTCGTCTCTCTCGGTTTCAGATCAAAGTTAATCAGCACCTGGCTGGAATTCGTTTTTAGTTTCTTCCTCATCTGCTTCTCAGTGTGAGGAATCCTTTTGGAAATTGAAGAACGGCATCTTCTAATTATCTGTTTGCAAAGGAGATGGTCAGGGAAAAAAATAAATTCAGATGGAATCCTAAAAGCTCTGATATTTTTATTTCGGGGACTGGATTATTTCCGTAGCCACCTTGACCTTGCTTTCCTGAGCTTCTGCAGGGAGCAGGGTGCCACGGGGAGTCTTCCATTTTTGCTTCTGCTCCATTCGGGCTCCGCAGAGGGCTGAGGGCTGAGCCGCACCTCCTTTCCACCTACAGGCTGTGGCTCCTCTCCTGCCTTCCTCCTGGGGGTCTAATGCTGGGTCTCATCGGGGCACACGTGGATATATGTCCTTTTCTCCTGTTTCTGTCTCCCTTTCAGAGCCAAAAAGAAGAGCAAACCCTTGAACCTCAAGATCCACAGCAGCGTGGGCAGCTGCGAGAACATCCCTTCCCAGCAGCGCTCGCCGCTCCTGTCCGAGCGCTCCCTGCGCTCCTTCGTGGGACACGCGCCCTTTCTGCCCTCCACCCCGCCCGTCCACACCCACAGCGAGGCCAACTTCTCCGCAAGTAAGTCGCTGCCTTTGGGCTCCCCATCACCTCCCTAGCACCCCCGCTGCTGGTGCCAGGTGCAAACCCTTGTGTTTATCTTGCTGCTCCTGCAACGCTCACGGAAGGGTACAATCCACCCTCAGGAAGTTGACAGCTGTTGTCATCTGCCCCCAGTGCCTGCTCTTTGGCCCGCAGGTGTGACGGGGATGTCAGAAGCAAGCAAGCTTGCGGGGCACTAAAAGGAAACATCAACCTTTCCTCTCCCTCCTCCCCGTCACCTTCCAGCTGCTCACTGCGGATGAAGTGTCTGTGCTGGAAGTGTTGTATTTTCTTTTCCCTTGGGTCAACACATCTAACCTTTACATCCTGAAGATGTATTTGGGTTCATACCGGCCCGAGCGTGGCCTGGCGTGGTTTATATTCTGCTCTCACGAATTTCTGCCAGAGACAGAGTAGTTATTACAGAGCAGAAGTGGAAGTTTGTGGTGATCCAGGGCTGATGTTTCATTTCAAGGCTTTTAATCTTCTCTGCCCAGAGACCCATTTTGCTGAACGGGCGCAGATGTGGTCAGGGAGATGCCTCCTGCCTAAGTCCATCAGTCCTCCAGCCAAGACAGTGATTTTATTGACTGGCTGCTCAGGAGAAGGAAGGAGGCTGTCGTGTTGTAGAGGAAGCAATCGCTTCCCCTTAATACAGCCACAGGCTGCGCGTGTTGTGCTGCTGATCTGATAAAGGAGAAGAAATACTTACGGAGCACAAATACCTGCTAATCGGCCCAGTGCACAATTGCACTTAGCTCTGGAACCATCCACTGGACCGATGAACCAGTCCCCTTGTACAGATGGAGAGTGAGTAATGCTTGGGGACAGCAGAGAACTTGCCCAAAGTCACATGGTTGCTTAACAAGAAAGTTGACAAGCTTAGCCACCAGGCATGATTTGATGGTCAGAATTTCTCCAGTATCCAGCAGGAATTCTTTTCTTTAACTGGGGGAATTTATTGGTCATTTTGCCTAAGTGTTCTTAAATATTTTTCAGGAAAGCCAATGATCACTTGAGAATGTGACAAAACCTGTGAATTCCCTCCCTAGGAAAAGGCACATGCAACATCCAGCCAGACAGTGAGCCAGACTTGGGTCAGTTCATAGATGTGTCCAGGGTGTGCATGCTGCAGAGGTCAGCTGGGGGTCTGGACCCCAAGGACCCAAGGAGAAGTCAGTGAAAAGATCCAGAGCCTGCCCTGTCCCCATGCATGGGGTACATAGGCCCTGACTCAAGCAAGCTAAAATAGCACTCACGACACACATGTCAACCTCAGAAGGCCAGCTTATTAATTTTTCAAAGGAAATCACTGTCAGAACAGAAGAGAGGCTCCATGAGGTGGACTGGAGCGTGGGTGACTGATCATGACAAACGAAGTGTGATGAGGACAGGTCAAATGCGAGGTGGCAGCCAGGCAGGGTCAGTGTTGGGGTCAGGAGCGTGGGGCAGGAAGAAAGAAGCCTGGGTTCAAATCCCACTCTGCCACTGTTTCCAGCCATGTGTCTTTAACCTCACAGAAGTCCAAAACCTCTCTGAGCCCCAATTTCCTCATCTGTAAGATGGGGATAATTACAGAGTCCTCATTATACCAATCAGCTTTTCCATCATTTTGACCAAATACCTGACATAAACTATTTAAAGGAGGAGAATTTTATTTTCAGCTCAGTTTCAGAAGTTTTTGTGCGTGGACAGCGGGCTCCAATGCAGAAACATCTTGGAAGCATCTGGGCTTGGCGGAGGAAAGCTGCTCACCTCATGGCGTCCAGGAAGCAGAGAGCAGGGAAGGAGGTCACACCCCCTAACCCAGACACACCAGGAATGTGCCTTACAGATTGTTTCTTAGGCACCTCTCAAGCCAGCCACCTTGATGGTCATGATTAATCATCACAACCCATTACACAGCTGTGAGGATCCTGTAAGCTATGCATGTCAGACCCAGTACAGCCTGACACAAGACGTGCTTAATACTTGATAGCTGGATTAATTACCGATTAACTCAGTTTCCCTACTAATATTTACCGGCTCCGGTGCCATGATTAATTTTGGGCTGCTGTGACTCAGTGCCTTGCAGTTCACCCCTAATCCCTGCCACTTCCCTGTGGCCTAAGTGTGCTTGGAATTTACCCTGGCATGATCTGGGCGGCTGCCTCCAGCAGCCATCTGTCCTCAGGCACCAGCGTCCTAGGAGAGAATATCAGCCTGCTCTCCTAGCGGGGTGGATCCTGCTCTGCACTTTAGTTCCAGCCAAAGACCTCTCCTGTCTTCTTTAAACATACAGATATGAGGCTGGTACATGTTGGTCCCCTTCCCAGTCTTTTTGTTTTTTTATTAAGGGGCAGGGATTGCTTCCTCCACAGTACAACTTTTTCTGCCCCTACTCCACGTCCAGCTGAGAACAGCTTGTTTAGTGTTTTAGAGTTTTCAAGGGAATATATTTAATTCAGGACACACAAATTCATAGGATTATTTTATAATATTCACCTGAAAGTCAAAGGTAGCAGTGCAAAAGATCCGTCCACACACTAGAGACCCAAAGAATTCAGCTAAGGGCTTGGATCCCATGACAATGTCCTGCACAAGTCTAGCTGGGAACCTAGAGCACATGGCAGTGACCCCCAGGAGTCTGACTGGAGGCTCGGAGCCCATGACAATGTCTCAAGGAAGTCTGCATCAAGGATCTGCACTGGGAAGGCCCAAAGGTCAGCGGTGGAGGCAAGAAAGTCTGCACCAGGAGGATGAAGGATCTGTGCCAGCAGGCTGAGGTTCTGCACTGGAGCCAGGAAGTGATGTTCAAGGTAAGGACCAGAGCTTCCCTGAAGAGAACCACAGCCATCCTCAGTGACAGCGAGGACCCGAGCTCTTCCAACAGGAGAACAGCTGAGTTTATATCAGGAAAACTAGCATGAACAGCTTCTCCAGGAGAATCACCAGCACACACCCTCCTCCGTTCCAGTTTATATGCTATTGGCAGCAATCCTCAGGTGGGCCTTCCACACCCAGCACCACACTGATTCAGTTCAGCTGGGTGTTACAAGTTGACCATTAGTTAACCCACCACATCTGGTGGCTTGGGGCAGGTGCGAGCACCTTCATCCAAAGCCAGCTTCCAGCACAGAGAAGCCCCACATGCACAATTGTCTCTTGCGGGGAAAGAGATGTCCTCTGACCTCCCAGAAAGGAGCAAGATAGCACTGGGGGCTCCGTGGGAGGATGAGCACTAACCCAAGTATTAGCTGGTACCCCATGGGCCAGACCCATGGAGCGGCAGAAACAGAGGCAGCCTGCTTGTTTTCTCTGTCGTGATTTCAGAGCTGCCAGTGGCCTGTATGGCGTTGGTGTCTGGCAAGTCGGCTGCACTGTCACAGTTCAGACTCACAGCAGTCTGAGGCAGGGTCACTACTCCTATTTTAAAGTTCAGGAAGCCGAGGCTCGGCTGTGTGGTCTTGCCCGTGTGCCGAGCTTTGAGTTCAGATCCACCTGTGTTCCGTCTCAGCAGTGCAGCAGCTTCTTTATCTGGCTCTCACTCCCCACTGTATACAGAAAGAGATTCCATGATCCGTGGCTCATTCATACCCTGTGATTCCAAGGCCCACTCTCTGAACAGGAAAACCTTTGATTCACTTAAGAATGCTGGCTTGGAAAGAACACAGCTGTCAGGCATTGGCTTCTCCTGGATTTCTTAATTCCCAGTTAGTTCTCTGCCACTCTGAAGTTAAGAAAACCCCCTGCTTTGGGGCCACAGTGCCAGCCTCCATTGTACTGTGCCAGCCCAGAAGCCCCTGGGCCTGTGTCCTTACCAGACTGTGTCTGTCTGTCCACTGGTCACAGCAGCTCTGACTGGTCCACACCATGAGAAGCAGTAATGTCACTTTCTTAGCCCCAGTGCTGACGTCAGGAGGCAGCACCAGGTGCATCTGATTGGCCAAGCCGTGGGGAGCCCAGCTACTTCATGTAGCTCAAGAAAGACTTTACCTCCTTGGGACTTACCCCACTCCCTGGTCTCAGGGTGACAAGTAGGGGGAGGGTGGGACGTAACCAGAGCTGCAGCTGGTGGGAAACCATGTCTCTGCAGGGGTCATCACCCTTCATGCTCATGGCCTCACTGGGCTGTGGACAAAACTTATATCAGACTCTTCTGGTCAGCATATAAGAATCACAAATAAACCTGCTCCCCTAGAAATAAGGAGCAGTGAATTTAACTCTTCATCCGTGCTCTGGATGGGGTTATATCCCCCATAAGCCCATCAAAAGTGCAAGATACAACTAAGAATGCATGGAATACACCAAACCTATCGGACATCACGGCTTAGACTCGCCTACCTTAAGCAGGCTTGGAAACTTTGCATTAGCCTATAGCTGGGCAGAGCTTTTTGCTCAATGTCTCTGCCCAGCTATAGGCTAATGCAAATCATGAAATCAGGGACCACCAGAAAGCAGGGACTTTGGAACTGATTCTGGGTTGCTTTGTGCCATTTAGCTAGGGTCTGTTGGATGCCCTCTACCTGGGCATTGCTTCCTCCAACAAGGAACGAACCTGTGGCTCTTTTTATGGTGTCTCTGGCCTCCCCCGACAGAGGTGAAGCTATCTTTAAGAATCCTAAAAAAGCTGCTTCCGAATGAAAAACTGTCACCTAGGTGGAATGATCATTACCTGTCGTCATTCATAACTGGCTGGCGGAAGTGATTCTGGGTCTACAGCAACTAAATGGATGCAGATACAGTGACAAGTGCTGCACTGGGGAGATGGCTTAACCCCCCGAGTCTGTTTGCCACCCGACAAGGATGTGGTACATAAAATGAGGGAGGCGTGCGAATTTCTGGCACGGAGGCTGGAGCTTAGAGCAGCAAGTCTCAATAAAGGGTGCTTTGGGGGCTATTATTGTGTGTTATGTGATGGAGTAGCTCGTAACAATGTTGAAAATGATGATAATAATAGCCATTGGTATTTATTGTGTGTTGACAATGTTTCAGGCATC